TTAATCCCATATATTCTGTTCTTTCATTTACGCGTTTCTCGTTTTACGCGGTACTCCACGGGTTCAATTGACTGCGTAAATGAAGACCTAACTGTATACACTTCAACACAAGAAAAAAAAATTATGGTAGTACATAATTTCTTGTTGTAATGACTTGTTTTTTTTTTATTTGTTTTACCACCATAATTACTCACCGCCTATAATTTTTCAATGGTGATCTTTGGTAATTTAAAAAAACCAAAAAAAAAACACCGCTCTACAGCACTGTACTACATTAATACGTACCAAATTAAAATAAAAAGGGTTTATGGCCAAAAAATGACTGAAGATAAACTAATTTATTTCAATTTAATCTACAGTATTTATAGATCACTTCAATGCTTATCAGCTCACTAGCCATTCAGATGGTTGTTCTGTTTTATGTTGCCTTTGTTCGTGATCTCTTTTTTACTGTACAGGGGGTGTAGTCTTTGATTCCCTCAGGGAGTTGTGACTTTGCTTTGCTAGCTGTTCCCACCAAGTGGGTTGGGAGTAAGAAGGGCATTCAGCTGTGGCAACCTATAGAGTAATTACTGCATCATACTCATAAATGGCACTATACAGTACTTCTATAACTCAGATTCACAGATGACAGTACAGTACAAATCTACCAATCACATCCATGGCTGGTTTTATACAAAAGTCTGTAATGCTGCTATGAGGGTATAAATCATATTCCTAAATGGCACTATACTCTTCCTGACTAGCATTTAGGGGTGAGACCGTCCACAAATGATAAACTATTGTATGGTATAAAGACCTGAATCAGACTCACAGACAATAATACAGTATACAAGGTTGTAAATTGTACAGTTCTAAAATACTCATAGATGGTGCTGTAGCTTTGAATCTCACCCAAATATGGCATTGCTCAAAGTTGTGAATCACACCCATTTTTGGCATTGTACAAAATCCTGTATTCATAACCATACATGGATATCATTTGTCACTGCTAAGTACAAGTTACCCAATTATTTGAAACTTGTACCACAAGCAATCACAAGATAAGAAAAAGCAAGCACAAAAGGTTTGAGCATAAATGGAGAAATCATAGAACAACCCTGCTGAAAAACCATACACTATCTAAACTGTATCTTCGGGCTTTACAGCTACTGCAAGCTATATACTGTATATGTAGTTTAATTGAATTATCTTACCTGCCGTTGATTTGCAATAACAAAAAGTAAATAAAACATTATATGGCATCTCCAAATTTGTTCAGTATGACAAATGATAATTTGTTTACATTTTCTTATAATACAGTACTACATATTATGTAGTGTCACTATTGTTTCCTTGTACAATACAAAGCTGAGATAAATGCAGGATAGTGTACTACTAATGTATAATGTTTAGTTATTATCAATGCTTTGTTTCATATATCAAAAGAATCGGGAGTACAGAAAAATGTTCAGTGTACAGTAACAACATATTTATTTCTTCCAAGTGCGGGGGATCTTACACCTAGGATGTGATAAGATGTGTACACTGATTGCATACCGAAGCTTTGCAATGCCAGTTCTTTACATCTTTCCAGAGGCAGAACTAGAAGTACTTTACAAAATATGATGGGATCAACAGAAAATAATGGAAATATATAACTATACAAAACATAACACAATTTAGAAATACACGACATCATTCGCACCATTCCCAAATACCGTGGACTTGCTACTGTACTGTATATAATTATGCCCATTCTTCCCTTTCAATCTCTGTTCTAACTATTAGTTTAGGGAAATCTCTAAATTACAACAGCTAGAAAAAGGATATTTGTTTTCTTTTATTCTCAAGCAAACACAGGAATGATTAAACTACCTGAAATATTTGGTAACCTTAGCAAGTCCTCGATGTCACTCATTGAAACACATACTAAATTGGACATTCAAGCATCTGCTTGTTTTCTGTTGTAACAGGGTTCTCTGATTTAATCTACATAAACTTTTTCATTGGATTAATGAATGTACAGTACTGGAAAGCTCTATATGTCTTCACATCAACAATCAACACCAGTAGAGACAAACAAAGTCATATCCCTCACTGAGGGCAAGTAAGAACTAATCAAGTAAAAAATGCCGAGGCATTCTGAGACTTGTTGTTGATGATATACTCATGAAATAAAAATGAAAATATTATTGTTGATCCACAACTTCTTTCAGCCCACACAAAACTTCAGTTAGGTTAAACTAACTGTATAGTGTTCTAACAACTCCCATAACAGTTGCTTGCATTACTCAAGTTACTCGAGTTGTGGGCTATAAAGCAATATTGAGCAGTATGCCACACACCATATATGCATCTTAATACTGATAAATTTTATTCAAGAGAAACACAAGTTTCCCCGTCTGGTCTTCTCATGAGCAGGAGGTTGAATGTCACATTACTCCTACACTACACTACTTGTACCTACAATCTGTGCCACAATATCATGACCCACTTAAGTACTATTTAGCATATAAACACTTGCCGAAAATTAACTATGCAGAGTAACGCAAAACATTACTTTTCTTTGATTACTGTCTAAAGCCCTATCCTGAATGAGAAGATCTACAGTATATGGTCACTAGTTCAAAAGGGCAGGTGTGTGTGTGTGTGTGTGTGTGTGTGTGTGTGTGTGTGTGTGTGTGCACGTGCTTTTTGGGCATATCACATTAGTGTCCATACTACCTACTTGTGTGTTTAGGGGAGTACCCATGAAAATAAAGGCATCTTATTGTTAATACTATTCACATCTCTATAGACTGTTTTTCAAGCATTTCATATAGTAACAATATTGAATGACTTGATTCTACTCTACTGTTCAACTATCTGCAAACTTTGTCAAGTTTTATTACCAACAACAAATCTCACCTGCCCTTTCTTTTTTAATTAATATTTACCTCTTCATTAGTGTATCAATTACACTTAAGAGCAGTGGATATTTTGCCGTGACCAGTTAAGTTCCTACTAACGCTATTTTACTGCGAGTGCGCTCTGATTGGCTAATCGTCCATTACCAGCAAACGCGAGAACTATATTTGACCGTGACTCTGGCGACATTTATTTCGCTGTCAGTCGATCGCTTTGTATCTATAAACATAGCTAACCGTATTTCTGTTGTGCTTGGAAACTACTGACAAAAATAAAGGTAAAGACTCATTTTGGGTCGAATGTGGAATTTCATATTTCTATATACATAGGGCAAAAAAAAAAAAAAATAAATAATATATATATATATTTATATATATATATAAATATATATATATATACAGTATATATATTATATGCTATTACGTTTCCGCCACAAAATTATATTTTTCGAGTATTTGAACTAATAAAACCTCCCCAGTTACCAACAATATTGGTTGCTCAAAGTGGGCAGTAGAGGAAAATGTGGGGTAAAGTACTAATATGGAAGGTTTTATTTTACTTTCGGACAGAGCGCGCCCCAAAGTTATAAACTACTGAAACATTTAGATCTCCCTATTCTGAGCATTTTGAACCCCATATTTACCATTCGGAAATGGAAAATAGCGACACATTTGAATTAATTGATTTTACGAACTTTTCAGTCTTCGCATTTGTGAAGAGATGTTATCTGCGTGAAACCGAGTTAATTATGAGTGTGTTTACATCACACACGTGCAATGTTGACTGACGTCATCCAGTTGGGACCAATAATGTATCAATCTCATCACGCAATTTTTTTTTTCGACCAATCGCATTTGAATTTATTCAAAGGAAGGAACCTGGGTATGGATTTAAATTTCAATCACCAGTCTGACATTGGCCGTGGTGGTCATGTGCGATTCGTGCTCCTACGTAATCATGGTGTTCTCCCTACATCTGTCGAGTGTTAGGTTAGTTTAAGCTAGGCCTACCGGGGTTCCAGGAGCGGAGCCCCCAGCGAGGGGTTAGGTAAGGTTACGCTAGGTTACAAGTTGTTAGGTTAGATGACTCGTTTTCGTGTTCTCTCCCACCAAAAAAAAAAAAAAAAAGGATTCTCCAGGCTGGGGGGTCAGGGTGGGGAAAAACGAGCAATTTCCGCCATAAATGAAGGTCCGATTCGCTTAAGACACCAAAATACTGCAAAAACATATTGGTCAACCCCGAGGGAGTTGTGTCCGAAAGTAAAACTTTACCAAAAAGAACACCAAACAAGCCTTTGAAAACCTTACCTACCCTTAGTTATAAAAAGGTTAAAAATTTGGTTATGTCTGAGAACACTACTACCGCCAGAAGTCGTTCGATTTTGTTCATTTTTTTCCACAGATGATCTTATCATTATAAAAGAATCGACATTTACTATAACTTAATAAAGCCTGACCTAACCAATCACAGGAACCTACCTAACCGCCCACACCCCATATTAAACAGAAGTATGTAGTCAATCAAAGCGCACTCACGGTAAAATACCGTCAGTAGAAACTTTGCCCGTCAAGGCAAAATATCCACTACATACTTTTATTGGCAAACAGTGATATCAGCTAAATTAAAGTTCTTTTTTCCAACCAATGCTGACGTGACATTCAGATGATCTAAGTTTATTTTGAACTTTGGCTGTAATTGCTGATCAAATAATAAAACAGAACAGTAGTATTACACCTGGCCAATACTTGTACCACTGTACAGTATTACCCAAATGCTTCAAAATGTTCTTTCGTGTTAATGCAACTTATTAGTATATTTAAGTACACATTTAAACATAAATAACAAATTAAGAGTTTTTGTTTTACCTTACATACAAGTAATACAGTATGTGCTACAGATAGAGATCCTCAAATCTGGGACTTTGAGTCCTGGGTCCTATGAGGAGGACTTACGTCAAGTATTGCCTCCACTCACACCGTCCACCTTATTTTACTTTTTAAGGTACACGACTAAATAAATAAAAGATGTAATGTGTATACTTACAATTAAAGATTGCATTAGTTTTAGCGTTCTGACAAGTTGAGTTGTTTATGTAGCAACGAGAGACTCATGGGTGAGCAGCAGCAGCAGGTGGGGCTAAACATTTGTCTGAGGTAATATTGATAAATAATTGTCTGGTTGTATAAGTAACCCAGTATTTTATACTTATTTTCATACATTTGTACTAAAGCACATTATTATTCTATTTAAAAAGCTTTTGGAGTCAGTATTGACCAAATTAAACTAAAGATTTTAGCTAACTTATACCAGATGTTGTTTGTTGCCACACGGCTCAATGGTTCTGTCATATGTCAGTTAATTTTGTATTCTTCCCTGCTGCTTTATTGAAAACATTATTGTATATGGTAGCAAATGTTTTATGAACTAGATAATAACATTCAGGTCAGGTCTATGATAATTAATTGATATTCTCTTACACCCATTTATTTTAAGACAACTCTCAACTCAAATATACTATTATTTATTTTACCTTATGTATGCAATGACATATTCTTTATTTTGTCATATAAGACGAAAAATAAACATGGAACTGGTGTTTATACGAGTGTAGAAGCAAAAGTTGTACCCAGGGAGGAAAATCGTCGGTTTTGAGGGAGATTCTTAATTTGAGTTTACCTCCCTGTATTACTGTACGTTTTTTCCATTACCTTAACGTTTCAGAGCAAATTTAGTAAATATATGTAAACCCAACACACACACACACACACACACACTAAATACTGTATTACGGTACCTCTTAATTGACAGCCAAAGTTTAAATTTTTGCATCCTGAGAAATCATCTTACTTACAGCCTATTGAATTTAAGGACGGAAAAATTTAAAAACAAATTAATGCACAGATTGACACAAGTGGAATATAAATTGTTGCACATATCAGAATACAGATAAATATATTTCAACCTCATTTGTACTGATGACTGTAGTTGCACACACACACACACACATCACCTGGACACAGATGCCACGGCAGTTTCAAGATCAGCCTATTAGCCAAGGAGGTCTTATTCACAATTAGTCCTTGGCTTATAAATTAATAAAAACTACCACAAGATCATACTTCTGCACTGGTACTCAGAAGGATATCAAGTAAATGGGATATATGCAGCAATTTATGTGAAGTGCAGTTTATGAAATGTTAAGCCTCATACAGCGAATGTTAAATATCTAACATATCCAATGACTGACGCACTGAAAATGTTTGTGAAAACTTTGATAGTTTCTAAAAACTTAAAATTACATAATATGATTAAAGCAGCACTGTAGAGATGAACAAAATAATTTAGAAGCGTAAATTTTACTTGAGGAACTTGCCAGAACGAGATGTTAATGAATCAAGACCTCAGCTTTAATCACCATCGTCACTGAGAGTCACATGAAACCCTGAAAACCATTCCTGTCATAACCTCACTGTTACAAGATTGTATTGTTATATAAATGGTAACAACAATATGATTAATAATACAAAATTTCACCAATAGGGATGATCACAGTCATAACCCAACAGACCTTCAAATTTTCATTAAAATATAAAAGTTTATCTCAGATTTCCATTCATTCGGACCAACACACACTGCACGATAAATAAACATCATCAGCCCTAACCTAAAAAATAATGAGCAGGGAAAGGGGTTTTTCTCGATATGAAAATTACAACTACAGACAATAAACAGGTTAGGACGTTAGTGAAGATAGGGAAACATATGTGATGAGACAAACTATTTATAATTTTGGATAAATTTTTCCCTTTGCTAATTATACACAAGCAGTAAAGTTAATAAGAAATTAATACACTTTAAGAAACTAATTATTATTAATAAATATTCATGTTTCCAATTCTTTAATATACACAGTACAGTAATTTGTGGTGCCTTGCCTTTTTATATGACAAATATTGAAGAAATCTGCAAAAACTTACCAAGCACTGGCGGATACAGGAGACCAGGGGAACTGTGGCTCCCTATGTATGTTATATCTATATTTTGTCTACAGTATTCCTATTACAGATTACAGTACATATAGAAGAAAACATACACGAGGTTTGAAGTAAATATTTTTTTTATACTGTACTGTATTCTATGGTTATAAAGGATCGAGTTTTCAAGTAACATTCAGACAAATTTTCTTTATCACTAATTACCTATTGCCATCTGGATCTGTGATTAGTCCCTCCCAGTGCCTCTTCCATTATGAAATCCTGGATCCGCGAGTGTTACCGAGCTATAAAAACCCACGATACTATGAGGTGGGGATAGTCGTAACTCGTAAGCTTCGACTGGTATCCCTAATTTTGACTGTCACACAATTTCACCTCTAACTTTCATCACATCTATCACTATCCAATAATGAAAGAGTTCACTCACTGTGAGAATTCCTTGCAATTTTTCCACCTAAAGCATAATTGCAGACAAAGGTCTTTAAACATTGATTGGTACAGCCATGATTAAAATTTGGGTATTAAAATAATTTGAAGAAAAACAAATCTCAACTGTGAATAAGGTGTGACTAAGATACTTGCAGCTAAAGGGAGCTATGAAAAGTTTTACCTAAAGTACTATGAATTTTTGTTGTCTGTCTCATCACACACACAAATTCATGAGATAATACATACAAATTGAAGTTGCATTATTAGCCATTGCTTCACCACAGTCTACAATGTAGGACTTAGTCACTAGACATTAAGTAGTTAAATAATGATCAAAAAGGGATATATACAGAATCAAAGACGGGAACATCTGCTATTCAAAGCAGCTGATTCACAATAAAGTTTTCAAAGCACCATAAATTCAAAAAAAAAAAAATGTCTTTACCAGTAAATTATTTACAATATCTTACATTACTCTTTAATTAATTGTGTTTAGTTTTTCCTTGGATACATGAGAACATAAAGGCTTAAAGTACTTTTGCGATATGATAATGATATTCACATGTTTACTTGACAACCTCAATATTGCACCTCAACATTCACTTAGATTGCTGCTCAGTGTTCATAGATTGACACAGTAACTTGTCAGTACTATTAGTAACAATGCAGATGAACATGGAGTGAGTTACATTGCACTTATCAGCCTGTCGAGTCTCCAATATCTGTAATATAAAACTTACAGAACATTGAATACATTTATATTACAACAGCATCAACAGAAACATTAACTACTCAGTTTCATATATATAAAATTGAACTTACTGTATGAAAAGCCTGTGTGGGTTTCTATTAATTGTCAAATTTATACAATGGATTTGGTAAATTCATAATTTACCCCAGATAATATTGTCTAAATTCTTACCATACTTTTAATACTTGGAGCCAACTTTTTTTTTATTTGGAGCAAATGCTACATGACAAATGAGATTCCTGCTATAATATCCTTAAAATAGTACAATATATTACTCTAAGTGGAATGACTGAAGAATTCCTCAGGCCCTACCTAGTCAAGACTGATTCAGACATACGGATATGTTTAAACTCATTCCCATGAGCTCGTTTCACCTCCAAATGAATCACTGGTACCAGTTTATTCTTACAGCCTGGTGAGACGGGAAGAAACTACAGCGATATGTATCCAGGGAAGCCCGTGGAAGACAGACGAACAGAGCCGTAGAAAACACACTCCTTTGGACCGCACTGTGAAGGTGTGATCATATACTGAAAAGATTATTATAATGGGAGGTAACGTTGATGCACTAGTAGCCTATATGCATACTGGTTATTAAATACTGTTTTGAGTAACAGATAGTGTCACTGGTCACTTGATAATCACTGGAGACTGCATATGCTGTATAAAACATTTTCACTGTGAATGCAGGCCGAAGAATAATTTTTTTGTAATAAGAGTACAGTACTTCTTAAAACCTCAAGATTCCACGAGTCTGACCACACTTACACCTCACCTCTGATGTTCTTACGCATCAGGCTTTTGTGCAAGGCAAAGCCTGGGATCTATGGAAAATTATCAAAACTATTGTTGCTATGACGAAGGTGCATACCAAGAGCCCCCGGCACGTAGACTATCGTACGAGGATGTGGACTTTGTGGTATTCGCGTGGTATAGGTGGAAACTGGAAGGAGAGTACAGTCCAGCTTGGTCAGCAAGAGGTGCAGAGTATGCCGAAGTGTCTAGTGGCACTCCTGAAGACCCATAGGAGTATACGTGAGGTTTAAGAGGCACGGGCTGGGCAGGCATACCGCCCCCATCGCCGAGGTAAGTTCCCGATGCTCCTCGCAGCTCGCCGCAGTCTCCTGCCATTTTTTCGCGGGGCGAGACGCTTGACGGTGGAGTCATGGCAGAATGATAATCGGGATAGCCAGAACCTGTTAGGCCACCCCCAGGATAAGGGAACTCGTGTCCCTTGCTGAACATAGCATCCTGGTACCCTTCAGATCCTGGTGGGGTAGGGAGAGCCGAGCCCATTTCTGAATAATAGGATCTTTGTACAGATGAGCGTATTACACTCTCACGGCTGGCATACAGTTGTCTCAGGAGTGTAGTAGCTGGTAACGCTGAACTTTGCTGCCCACTTGCTCCTCCTACCCACTGAATAGTCGAGCGTTGCCCTGCACTGCTAATAGCAGTCGATACGCCTCCGCTCTTCAACAGAGTATCCTGTGAAATATCGGTCGGATCATCGGGCAAGTGTCGGGTCATGGCAGCTTCTAAGTCCCTGACGGCACCTTCGTCGCTGCGAGGTGGTGGTGCAACCGTGGTACCGGGGGAAGATTCTAGCGGTGTAGTGTTCATCATTGGTGTGGCTCTAGCATGAGGTGTGCCTGGGGTTGAAACTGGTGGTTCAGAAACACGACCGGGGGATGGCGCTCCTTCACAGCCTCCGCCCGAGTCCTCCGTAACGTCAGCATTCCCCATCGGAGTCAATAGGCCGCCAGGGGCCTGCAACACAATCTTAGTCAGACAAAATTCTTTGGGGGAAAAATAAAATCATATACAGAAGCAGAGATATAGATATATATACAAGCTACAGTCAAGGTTTCATAAAATGGCCAAAACAAAACAATTACTGAACTTTCCTAAAATGCCAAAATTCAAGTTAGTACTGTCAGTATATTAGTAATCACCATGCAAGTATTAGCAAGGTTAATAATAATATCTTACTAACTACAGGACTTAGCATATTAGAATAGGTTTAAAAGATGCGACCAAATTTTCCCTTGTAAATTACTTTGGAGGTATTTTCTTTTATAAGTAAGAATCACATTAACACCATCATTATGTATCACTTATGTAAACCAAAATACTGTACAGTACTGCTGACGAGTCTCAATGCAAAACAAAACTTCATAAGAAAAAATATGTGATCCTGAAGAAGACACATTTCCCAGGCAGAGTTGGCAAACAATACAATACAGTATTTGTATTAAATTGATGTCAGATGTATACAGAAGTTTTGGATGTTATCTGAATTTTTCTGTTTAGTCGATCGTATTTACTTTATGGTATATATAAAATAAAATTGTATCTGTGTTAAGTATCTTAAAAAAATTATTGATCAATATACAAATTTAATGTCATTTCATATAATCAATAAATGATAATAAAATTGAAAGGGTTTAGAAACTTATCAATATGAAAGTTTTGGAGTTGGACAAGATGAGCCTCCAGGGTGTTGCCACAGGAATATGAAACCCATTTAAGTCCCCTTATAAATGGTGAATGAGTTCTTTGTTCATATGTTTTTTTAGGTAACATTAAGTTACTCTTAATATACTGTACCTGTACATGTATTTTCAGTGTGTACCTCAGTCAGGCAATGAACAAGGGGTCCATTGGAAATATTTACCCTATACATGCAGGGTGTGCCATCACCCACCCTGTTAATACAGTGTTAATCACGATGTTATTACCTCCGTTTTAATCTGAGCCCCGTCTAAGGGAACACTGGGTGTACCTCGGAGTGGCGTGGAGATAGGCTCTGATTGGCCACTGGGGGAGCGTGTGCCCCCTGAGCCCCCTCCCGCAGTGTTGATGGAGGACCTTGGGGACCCGCCTGTGTCCTCACCCACTACCCGGGAGCCACCTTCTGAAGAACAATGCTAGAGGTCAAAAGGCTTAAAAGGAAAGTATCAATAGAGAATTAAAACTCTAAGAAGGAATATGATGAGAAAAATTGACTATAATACTGTATACAAATACTGTACTTTACCAGGATTACCTCATTATGAATAAGTTGGAGAGGAAGGAGAGACAGACAGACAAACAAACAGTAAGAAAGTTGCTGAGAAGTGTTGTTGATTTTAAAGACGAGTTGCACATCACAAATGTGGAAAGATTTGATAAAAACACAGTGCAGTTAGTGAAAATCACCATCCCCAAACACAAGCACAGGAGGTATGGAACCTTAAGCAATTAATGGAGTACAGCAATGTCTACATCACCTGACAATTCGGCAAAAAAAAATGAAAAGGAGCTCAGAGACAAACTGAAAGAATTACGAAGACCAGAAGGGACCAAGTATTAAGGGTACAAGAAGATGGGGAGGTCAGAGTAATGTTTCAGCCCTCTCATCAGCAAGGAGATTCTTCTTCACAAAAAAAAGGTACCAGTTCAAGCTGTGGAGTCGAGAACAGTACTGGGCTTCAAAATAACCACTGACAAAACTCTGAAGCAATGGAGGGATCCTACACACGCCACTGGCATTCTTCCCTCGGCATGTCCACCTCTGAGTTTGGGTTGCCATAAGGTAAGTACAGTAAATACTGCAGAGTATTTAATAAGGGAATAATTTTCTTTTTAAACTGGTTAAATATTCTATCTTCTTTTTAGTGAATATATTTAACAGTACATTTAACCTCAAATATAGGTAACATCATGTTGTGCAGTTGTAATTCCTGAAGTCGAAGTAATTGATGACAGGCCAGTGTGACTTATGGAACTTTGTAGCTTATATATACAGTACAAAACTTCTGAATATCATTTTTGTTTTTAGCCTTTTGAATATGATAAAGCCATTTGACTATTTTTAACTTTAAACACCATGGTAAAAAAAAGTAGAAGGGTTTAGATTGTTATATACACATTTCAACATTGTCTTTAAAATTGTCAACAAAATATTGGTCCTATCTACAAAATTAGTAAATTATAGTCACAATAAAATAACACAATGACAATATTTAACACACAACTTATACAGAATAATAAAGGTAATGTGGTTCTACAGTCACTAGAGAAAACATTAATGCAAGAGTCAATGGAAACAAAATGATATCACCAGGTACCTCTTGTGGCTTTACTGGACTGTATAAGAATGTGATGATGGGGTACATGACTACTCCCATATTAACTCCAAAAGTTAACATAAACACCACATTATTGCAACTTACAGAATTATGAACCGTACTCAAGACGCCTCCACAACGGCTTGTAGACCATCGGATTGGACGACTTGTGTTAGTTGTATATATATAAACAAAATCTTTTAAGTCGTATTTTTGTAACTTTCCTAACTTCCAAATTGTGTTCAAGATTTTGCATAGCTTACAGGAGTATGCAAATCAAACAGAGTAAAGCTTGTGTTCTTCATATTGTACTGTGTATGTTAAGTGCATACAATCAAATCATCTCCATTTCAATAATTTCCAGGTAAAAGAACCTTTGAATTTTTTTTTTTTAAAAACCACGGGATGGAGGTGTGATCTGTATCTGGATATATTCACCACAAAGAGATAGGGTTGATTAGTTTCCACCATCACCATCTGAGAACAGCTTTATATATACTGTACTGACCTGGGGGCTCGGGTGTGGCTGAACTTGGGTACTCCAGATCGTCGGATTTCATGTTAGCCAGGGCAGGGTCTAGCTGGGTCTGGTCGAGGACTAGACTTTCGTATTCTGCCCTGCTGGAAAGTGAGTGATAGACCATGAAGAAAAGGGGAATGATATTCGAGAAGAAAAATAAATAGAAATATAAAAAGCAAAAAAATTATCATAAATGCTGATTGTGAATGAAGTTTATATATTTCTTAAAATATTATATATCAGAGCTGTAAAATATATCCATAATAGAGAATAGTAAATAAAATGTCACAAAAAAATTATTACATTCAGTATACAGGTGAGACTGCCTGTCCTATAGCTCAAGACATATGAAACTTAAATTACTTTTTTTATTACAAATTTACAAAACAAAAGGAAAACACTACCTTATCACATAATTAACACAGATGATATTTTGTTCATCGCCATTTTTAGTGTTAATGACAACCGTTGCACAGGTCTGCATCCAGGTGTAGCCGCCTGACTTGTTCAACAGCCGGAAGTATGGACTCATAACCTGACCCTTCTGGATCACTGAAAATATGAGAAAATTTGTGTAGTAGAGATTTTTTACAAATACAGTAACTGCTCTTGTTTACTGACACAGTGAGAGGAAGGGGTGGAAGCCGTATACAAGGTGAAATACATGATAACCAGCTTGCAATTAAAAAAAAATATATATATAAAAATTTCTTGCTTTATAAATAATGGTTATGTATTATTATAAGAAAACTATAAATAAATTAGACAATAAGTAAATAAATATATTGTACAAAGAAAACTACAAATTAAATGAGAAAATTCTATACTTTTACAGATACACCCAACAGCCATATACTGTAAACGAATAGTACAGTACTACACTCACAGTCAACGTGTGTCTTGCGTAACTTCTCAACATCTTCACCGTGACAGAGGGAGTACAGTGATCGACCTTGCAGCTCATCAGGCGTGTAGTCCAGTAAATCTGCCACTCTGGGGAGAAACATTAGCTATGAGTTAGACATATGATATTAAACAATGTTAAGTATAAACCTTATAAGTGTCAGTCATTACTTGTTACTTACTGCTCATCGTGGAAATAATATGACTGTAAAACCAATGTGAGCAACTTACTTAGGTTCACAATGTGCTATTCTGAAGTCAAAGGTTATCCTGGTAACAAACATATCGGGCTCGAGCCGCACTTCATGTACAGAAGGTGGGGGGAGTGCTATGGCGAGAGCTACCAGACCCATCAGTTGTGGAGGATTCTTGCGGGAGTGGCTGAACACATACTGGGGTCGGAGGTGTCCCAGAACCAACACAACCTGAAGTAACAAGAGACGGTCAATATTCTTTTCCTATTCCCAATACGTTATCAAATAAGTTGATCTAATAAAATACTTGAAAACTCTGCTATACCCTGTACATGTTTTATTTATTTTGAAGTTAATAATATTTTCATTATACATTGTTCTCTTAATACATTTTCTTCAAACATTTTACATTCATGTTATTCTAAAATGATTAATCTCGTTTTCATATTTTCTGACACTAAATTTCTTTTCTAAAAATAAATAGTGAAGCCTTAATGTATGGTACAATTTGTTTTTCTATGCAAGCCTTTAAATCTTTCCTCTTTGCCATATTGTCTCTGAATTAAATGCATTGATAATAAAAAACACATTTTGTAAACTTACCCTGTAACCTGAAGACTTGAAGTGACACCCTCTCTTTGTAAGGGTAGATTTCATACGGATACAAAAAGAGCGGTCATACCCCTTGAACTGTGAGGTGCTGCCGAGGGCCATACAGGTCGCCACTATCAACATCAAGCCAGGGACAAAAGGTGGATAAAATATTAGTCACAACCAACAAGATGGATCACTTAACCTAAACATGCAGTCATCCTCAAGAACACATCAACATTTTCATTAAACAATATACTGTACCCCAGTTCTTGTTAGAAAAATAACTAAGTAACAACATTCACTGATGAAATGCGAAAAAAAAGAGTTCTCAAGATAGGGGGGCAAGGGGAAGGGGGCGTGTACCACATCAAGATGGTGTACCGAGGTTTAGCAAGTCTGGAAGAGTGCATGGAGACAGCTCAAGTTTGGTGAAGGTGTTGAGATTTTACGAGTGTGGAGGAGTTCATGGAAGTAGTTGAAGTTTTTGGGAAAATGTTTGAAGATCTTGCAAGTTTTGTAAAGTGCATGTTAATGTGTGTATGGACCTGGGAAAGTGAGTGGAATCTTAGAAATTTTTGAAAATGAAAGTTGGGGGAAGGTAAAGATTTTTGTAATGTTTATCAGACCTCTTATGAAACATTTTACAAAAATGGTGACAATAAAACTAAGAACACCCTTAAATATTTACCAAATATATAAGAACTGTACATATGGGTAAAACATAGTACAAAAACAGATTATACTCTATAATTTAAAGCATGCTGCAAGCATTAATATATATATATATATATATATATATATATATATATATATATATATATATATATATATATATATATATATATATATATATATACATATACATGGGGTATATATAATGTATATTACATAGCCAATATTACTGCATGCCAATTGATCAAATGCCAATACATGTCATATTCATTATCAGTACTTCAGGACAATGATACAATCACAAATTAATGCACTACTGTACTGTACAACACTGCATCTAAATGTACACATTACACAGCGTAATGAAGCTTCTCTTGTCCAACTAACACAGCAACCGTACTTGGCGACACTCACTATTCCATTTGGCATCTCTCAGAGTTCTTCTCAAAATTTTTATTTTTCATTCATTTTCAATACTGGCAAATGGCACACCATGCCATACAACTCTTCAAATAATGATTAATATTTTAGTAGGTATTTTAGTAATACTCATAACTTAAAAATACAATTCCAGAAATCAGTAAACAGGCTGGAGACTAGCAAAATAGGACAGCTTCAAATATTATTAAATTTAGGTAAATATAAAGATGAACATAATATATTACACATCACAAAATTATTCAGGAAGCCGTCACTATTTGCCCTTCAGTATTTGTCTAGTTACCCTCACCTGTTTTCAGTTTTCTGTGGTCCCGCCACCGCGACAAGTGAGTGTTGTGTTATTACGGTTAGTGTACTTACATGGAAGCTTACCGTCAGGGTTCATAGTTCCCTGTGACCCTGTCGCCCCTTCCTCTGACCCTAAAGAGGAGGGGGAGGGTAAGGGCTGACCTGTGGATAAGGTCAGACCTAACTGATCCGCCAGTTCCTGATGGTCTTGTTGGTGGATATAGTCGAACACGCTGCTTCCTGTCATTTCCACCTGCAAGACAACATGTTATAGTAATAATCTTCCAATTTAATTGCACACGAAACAATATCTGCTAAAATATAAAATCCTAATAATATATAATGACAAAATTAAGACGGAACGACAAAATGCTGCCATTATACATTATCTTACATTACAGTTTGTAAAGTGACAAATCAATTTCAAATTATCTAGAAATGTACTTTTTTACCATTTACATCATACATAAACTTGAAATATTATATATTTATTAACCTTTTTAACCGGGAAAATATATCTACTCAGAATTGTGATCACTAAAAATACACAAGTTCATGAGTGAATTATTTGACAACGTTTTCTATACGTGGATAAGACTCCCTAACTCAAGTAATACTAAAATCAAATGCAGCCTGGCCTTCGTAACACAGCCCGGCCTCCATAACACAGCCCGGCCTCCACAACACAGCTTGACCTTCGTAACACAGCCTGGCCACGCAACACAGCCCAGCCTCCACAACACAGCTTGACCTTCGTAACACAGCCTGGCCACGCAACACAGCCTGGCCTCCATAACACAGCCCGGCCTCCACAACACAGCTTGACCTTCGTAACACAGCCTGGCCTCCACAACACAGCTTGACCTTCGTAACACACCCCTGACTGCCGCTGCACCGACCCATCTCACAAGGCTTCTCCTCCGTGATATAATTTTCTCTCTGTTTACTCTCACTTTCCTCCTTGTCTAGCTGTTCTCTCGCGTGTGTGAGATAATCTACGTGTTATTTTTTCTCCTCTTTACCCAATCTTTTATTTCATTTGGTGTTTATTTTTGTTTACTTTGTGCAGTTTCATTTATTATTCTTTGCATTGTCTCCGCTGTTTGCTGGCCAAGAGGAAAGTTGATACTGTATTTCTGTTTAGTTCGGATTTCTCTTCCACTTTTTCGTCAGTAATTTCTTTCACAGATATACTTTACGTTATCATCATTTTACGTTTCTATTCCCCCTGCTTTATCTCTATTGTCCCTCACCTTTCTTTTACTGCCATCTATTGTGTTCCTAGTTCATTGATCTCTCTCTCTCTCCCTCCCTCATCTATCTCATACAACTAATTTGGGTGATGAAGCCCTTGCTCTCACCCTACTGTTAGAGACGCCCTCCTCCTCCTTCTCTACCTCACACATCTTCCTATTCTCCCTCATACGTTCTCCTTCCTTCTCCACCACTCCTTCGTCTCGAGTCCGTTGTTTCTATTTTATCTTTGTTTCTCTTTAGTGTCTTCTTCGTGTGTTTCTCTTTCTCTCCTCTCTTTTTCCCCATTCACTTTGTTTCTCCTGTTCTTTTTTTTATCGCTTTACTGTATATGTGTTTGTCCGTCTCCCGTTACCCCTAGATGATAAAGACTTCCTCCTTCTCCCTATCCTCCAGGCGGGTGTTGGAGACTCACTCTCTCCCTCTCCTACAGGCGAATGTTGGAGACTCCCTCCCTCCCTCCCTGTCTCTCTCTCTCTCTCTCCCTCCCTCCTCCAGGCGGGTGCTGGAGGGCCCCTCGCCTAGTATCGAGCCGGGCCGCCCTAGTGTGGATCGTGGCCGGCATCGCAAGTAGCTGAGCCCGCAATGCGAACGCTACTGGAGGTGGGGACTCCTACTCCTCTTCCTCCTCCACCTCTTCTTCCTCCTCCACCACCTCCTCCTCCTCTTCTTCCTCCTCCTACTTCTCCACCTCCTCGCCTATTTCATATAACAATACTACTTCCACCACCAATACCTCTTCCTCCACCCCCTTCCACTACTACTCCACCACCATCACCATCCCCTCCTCCTCCTCCACCACCCACACAGCTCATGCCTCACGCTGCAGGAGGAGGAGGAGGAGGAGGCCATTCCCTTCCTCCTCCCCGGGCTCATTACTCTCTATATATGGGGTTGTGTAGGGGAGGACTGTCAACATGTGGAGCTGTGTACGTGGTGGGGTGTGTACGTGGTGGGGTGTGTACGTGGTGGGGTGTGTGTGTGTGTGTATGTGGTGGGGGTGTGCACGTGGTGGGGGTGTGCACGTGATATGGGTGGATGTGTCCGTGGGAATGAGGATGGATGTGTATATGGAGCTATTAACCTAGGAGTGTACATGGGTGTGTACGTGGGGGGTGTCCTTTGCGGCATGCTGAGAGTGTTGTAAAACAAATTCTAACTCACATGCTAATACTCGTCTGCTGTGCATATATATGATGTATACATCCGTGTGTGTGTGTGTGTGTGTCTGTGTGTGTGTCCGTGGAGATGTACGTGTGTGTGTGTGAGAGTAGGAATATGTGAGAGAGAGAGAGATTGGCTAGCAAAGGCTGTGTCAGATCGCCTTTAAAAGTTTATTTGCGTATTCCAAGAGAAGTTATTTACCCTCGTGTATTTTGTCCAACAGACACAATTTATCACCATTAATTACAAAAAAAATAAAATTAATAAAAAAATAATAATTGAAGCGATATACAGTAATTATTAATTTACAGGGTTAAATATACAAGATAGGTTAATTAACATAATTAAAAAAGACAAATGTTAAAATATAAAAAATTTTCCATCTCTATTTTAATTTCTTGCCTTTAATATACACAATACCCATTCCCAGTCCTGCCTAGGGCCAACTTATAAGTCCTAATCCAACTTGAGAGTATTATCAGAGATGCAGCGATGGAACATCTACTACGAAACAACCTTGTAAAAGATTGCCAACACGGTTTTATGCCGGGGCGCTCTTGCTTGACACAATTGCTCAAGGTATTGGATATTTGGACCCATATTCTAGAACGGGGTGGTAATATCGACAATATTTACCTAGATTTTGCCAAGGCTTTCGACAGTGTACCCCACGAAAGGCTGAAAATCAAACTGGAAGGGTACGGAATTCGGGGAAATGTCCTAGCGTGGATAGAAGACTTTCTACATGACCGCAAGCAATGTGTGGTGATTAATGGCACGAAATCGTCATCTGTACCTGTAACAAGTGGGGTACCGCAGGGTAGTGTATTGGGCCCGCTGTTGTTTGTTTGTTTCATAAATGATATGCCTGACGTTGTACACTCCTCCATACAAATGTTTGCCGATGACGCCAAGTTATTTCGGGAAATTAAGAACCAAGCGGACTGTGAAGAGCTGCAGAAGGACCTCTGTGGGCTCCAGGAATGGTCGAAGGAATGGCTGCTGAGATTCAATGTCACGAAGTGTAAGAGGATGCACCTGGGGCGTACCAACGGTAAGGAGGCGTACCATATGTCCCAACGGGATGAAGAAAATGTACTAGTTGAGACTGTGTGTGAGAAGGACCTAGGTGTGTATGTTGACAATGAGCTGAAGTTCTCGGGCCATTGTGAGAAGAAGGTAAATCAGGCAAATAAATTATTGGGTCTTATAAGAAGGTCGTTCAGATATCTAGACGGTCCGTCCCTCGTGACGATCTTCAGGAGTGAAGTGCTTCCCCATCTGGAGTACTGTCACCCCATCTGGTCCCCGAGATATGCTAGGGACTGTCAGTTGGTTGAAAATGTTCAAAGGAGGGCCACCAAGCTGGTGCCTGCACTTCGGCATCTCAGCTACCCTGCGAGATTGGAGCGCCTGAACTTGCCTAGCTTATACTACAGACGGGCAAGGGGGGACCTAGTTGAGGTTTATAAGCATCTCAGGGGGCACTACTCAGTTGAGTGTCCTTACTTGGAGCTGGCGGACGCTCGCCCCACAAGGGGTCACAGCTCAAGATTGAAGAAGCCGCAAGTCCGGAAAACCGTGAGGGCAAACTTTTTCGGAGTGAGGGTTGTAAACTCTTGGAACAATCTACCAGAAAGTGTTGTGACGGCACCGAGTGTGAGCTCTTTCAAGAGAAGACTTGACCAACACTGGAGCGGGTTCAGGTACATTCAGGAGCCGGTGCATGCCCAGTATTTGCCAACAGTGCGTGACAGAGACGTGACCGATCGCCCGGGCGGCTAGCGAGCCGACCTTTTGGTGAAGAATATAAAGGAAAAGAGTCGTGACCGATCGCCCAAGCGGCTAACAAGCCGATCAGTGGCGAAGAGGATAAAAGTAAAAAGTAAGTTCTGCTTAAGTCCTACAGCTATGATCTATTCAGGTCCAGGCCACGTCCCGACCTAGTCTTATAATAATACTCTCCCAAGAGTTATCCAATACACCTCCTAAGACTGACTCAATATCCTCCCAAAGACCTACCAACCCCGAAGACCTACCTCAATACCCTCCTAAGACCCACCAAGACCTACCTCAAGACCTACCTCAAGACCTACCACAATACCCTCCTAAAACCCACCCCAAGGCGTCGGCTGCATCAAGACCCACCTGTGAGAGGCCGAGGTATATGGAGACGGTCTCAGAGATGTAGAGGAACCTGCCGTCAGCCGCCAGCGTGAAGGCGAACCCGTCGAGGCTCTGCAGGATGTGTGTTCCTTGGTGCGTCTCAAAGATGTCCATCGTCATCCCCGACATAGATCTCGGTCTGATGTTGCCCCCGGCTGTAACAAACACACATACAGACACTGGGTGATGGTGATGGGTGGTGGTGATGGGTGGTAGGGGTGGTGATGGTGGAGGGTGGTGATGGATGGTGATGGTGGAGGGTGGTGATGATAGTGGTGGGTATGTCGGTGGTGTGGGTGGATGTTGGGGCGGAGGGAGGGAGGAAGGGTGTTGGAGAAGAGAGGTGAGGGAGGGAGAGAGGGGGATGCTGGGGAGGAGAGAGGAAGGAAGGGTGTTGGAGAAGAGAGGGAGGGAGAGAGGGGGATGCTGGGGAAGAGGGAAGGGGATGCTAGGGAGGAGAGGGAGGAAGGGTGTTGGAGAAGAGAGGTGAGGGAGGGAGAGAGGGGGATGCTGGGGAGGAGAGGGAGGAAGGGGAGGGAAAGAGGAGGGAGGGGAGAGAGGGGATGCTGGGGAGAAGAGGGAAGGATGCTAGGAGAGAGGAAGGAAGGTGTTGGAGAAGAGGAGGTGAGGGAGGAGAGAGAGGGGAGGGGGAGAGAGGGGGATGCTGGGGAGGAGAGAGGAAGGAAGGGTGTTGGAGAAGAGAGGGAGGGAGAGAAGCTATGTATTACTGTATGTTATTTATGTGGGAGATTTACACGTATATAAACCTGACAGAGATAAAAAACATTTCAGAAACATCACCAACACCCCCTCCACCCCAGGAGACAGAGACACACACATCTCCACCAATCCTCCCTCACCCCCGCCACCACACACGAGACAGACAGACAGAGAAACAGTTTCTCACCACCACCTCACAACTCCCTCACATAATCCCCATCATCCCTCCCTCACCAGCTGCGGCCCGCCAACAATGAATGAATAATGTGAGAGAGAGAGAGAGAGAGAGAGAGAGAGAGAGAGAGAGAGAGACCCCACAATGATCACACAGGCGGAAATAACACATCCTGTTAACTTCTTTTGTTAATCTTTATTTCCTTTTCTTAACTCAGTCATCCGCGTCACTTGATCTCTCCATTACCTGTTTTATTCCCTCCAGTTTACACCACAGAGCTCACCACTTCCTCACACACCACAAACCACACACGGAACAAACACTTTATTCTGAAGTTTTTGTGTGTAAATAAAAAATGAAAAAAAAACCAAACATTCGTAGGATTTTATTTATCTCTAGTCCTATCCTTCGTGTCATTGGTCTATCCTCCGTATCCTTCTCCTATCCCCAGTATCCTTGTCCTATCCTCCGTGTCTACATTACCCTCAACGTAAAAGCCTTAACTCTTGGACCAGTAGACGGAACACCTGACCTACACACTGGTCTCAATGAGCTGTCAACACCTCGGCAAAAAGGTTGTGATCCAAGTAAATTTAATCACCATGAGGACCTTTAATAACAGCAGTAAACACAGCAGGAGACCCATAACAGAAGCAGTAAACACAGCAGGAACAGCAGATGGCCCACGTCACCAGCAGTAGGAGGAGGATCTACAACAGCACGAGGACTCATAACAGCAGCAGAAACAGCAGTAAACATAGCAGAACAGCAGGCAGCAGACGTCAAGTAAAGACGTCATACAGCCAGTTCACAAAATATAACAATCCCGACTGAGGCCAATGTAAAAGCCTCTCTAGAGGTTGTGAGGCCACTAGAGGGTGTGTGAGGCTACTAGAAGGAGAGTGCTATGGCACTAGAGGTTGTTGGAGGCCACGAGAATAAAGTGTGAGGTTTATGAGAGGGTGAGGGGATACGGGATGAAGAAGGATGAGGAGAAGTGAGGGGAGGATGAGGCCAAGTGAGGGAAGGATGAGGACAAGTGAGGGAAGGATGAGGACAAGTGAGGGAAGATAGAGAGAGGTGTGATTGTGGTGGGGAGGACGGTGTGAAAGAGAAATGAAGGGAGACAAAGGGGGGGAAGGAGGAGGGGGGGGGGAGCTAACACCAACAGATGACCCCTCACACTCAACATATTTGGCTGTGGAGGATGATCCCCTCTTTTCTGCCCGACACCAACACCTACTTACCTCCCCTCACTCTCTCCCCTCCCCTTACATCTCCCCTCACTCTCTCTCCTCTACATATTCTCTCTTCATTTCTCCTTACACTTCTCTCCTCTTCCACTTCTCTCCCATACATTCAGGAAGAGTGGAGAGAGAGAGAGAGAGAGAGAGAGAGAGAGAGAGAGAGAGATGTAACACTACGAGATGGTAGTAAACAACATGGTGTCCTTAATTACCCCAAACAAACACACTAACACCCACACTGATTAAACCATCCACCATTACTGTTTATTTCACCTCTTTCCCCCTTCCTCCTCTTCCCCCCTTCCTCCTCTTCCCCCCTTCCTCTCCTCCCACTCATCATCCTCCTATTCCCACCCTCTCTTGTGATTCTTCCTCCTCTCCATTCATCCACCATCCTTCTTCTCTCCTTCCACTCATCCTCCTCCCCCTCTCCCCACTCCTCCTCCTCCTCTTTCCTCCCTCTCTTCTAATTCTTTCTCCTCTTCGTGTCCAGTTGTGTTATTTGATTTTCTCTCTTTGGTCATTTCTCATCCACTTCGTTTCGTTTCATCTTGTTTCATCTTGTTTCATCTTGCTTCATCTTGCTTCATCTTGCTTCATCTTGCTTCATCCTTCGCCAACTCACTCAACCCTAAGCCATGACGTCATAAAGCGAATCCCCCTTTCCCCCCCTTAGGTACGGATTACTGTGACCTCCTACGACCTTTGATGACCTGTTAATCCCTACGCCCGGATCACCTCCTCGCTAACTACCGCGGCCGCCTCTGTAATTACCCTCGTTATGGCAGTTAACACCATTCATAACCCGGCCATTACCGCCCCTAATGACCCATGACAATAAGGAGAAATATTAGTGATTAAGTGTGGGAGGATGACCTGTCGATGGGAGGGGGGGTGGAGGGGGTTGAGGGGGTTGATGGGGAGGGGGTTGAGGGGAGGGAATTGAGGGGGAGAGGGGTTGAAGGAAATGGGACTGATGTGGTGGAAATCGTCAATAGTAGATTAGAAAATGGTTATTGCGGTGGTGGTGAGATTGACTTAGAGAGAGAGAGAGAGAGAGAGAGAGTTGAATAATTGATGGGGTCAGTGGTAAATTGACGGGGGATGAGATATAAAGCATTGTATTACTGAGACAGATAGACAGTCAATCATCTGAGGTACACATGGACAGTTAACCAATAGACAGACAGACAGACAGATATATAAACAAGACCCACTAAATTCGGTCAAATCCCCCCCCTCCCCCCCCCATGGAAATGATCACCGTTTGCAGTGGAGTGTAAGTTGATGATGGGGAGGGGGGAATGGGGAGGGGGAGGGGGGAATGGGGAGGAATTGATGGACGGTGTAGGGGTGACTTGAGGGTGGTCTGTGGGGGAGAGTTGATGGATGGTGTGGAAGGGAGGGGAAGGGAGGGGAGGGGAGGGGGAGTAAGGGGGAAGGAGGGGATAGGAAGGATGAAGAAAGGGGGTAGGTGGATGAGGAAAGGGGGCAGGTGGATGAGGAAGGGGGGTAGGGGGAAGGGAGGGGGAAGAAGGGGGAGGAAAGGACGCGATAAACTTGTAAGTGACAGTAACATGTGTGCAGGAGGGAGAAGGACCTCTATGATGACAGGATACAAGGATCACTATAGCTTGTCTTTGTCTGTTGTTTTTATTAATTATTTTACCTAAAAAATACCCATACATACATACATACATACATACATACATACATACATACACACAGCAAACGTATACAAACAGCCATACAAGAGTTATATCACTTGGATCTCTTAAAGTCTCTCATAACGACATTTGTAAACATCTCCCTCCCCACGAGAAGAGGACCATCATGACCTGTTGTCTCTAAGATGGAGAGACATTGTTATTATCTCATATCAAATCAACATCGGAGTCAAGGATATCTCAAAATCTCCTCGTTTATGTCAGGTCAAGTCTCTGTCTCTCTCGTTGTCTCAGTTTATCTCTGTCTCTCTCTGTCCTTGTCTCTCTGTCTCTCTCTGTCCTTGTCTCTGTCTCTCTCTAGTATCTCACAGCCATTAACAACTATCTCAGCCGACATATAAACAGCATCTAGTTTATGAGTGAACGTGAAGGTAGTGGTTGGATGGGAGTGAGGAGGGGTTGTGGGTGTGGTGGAGGGGTGTGTGGGTGTGGTGGAAGGGTGTGGGTGTGTTGGAGGGGTGTGGGTGTGTTGGAGGGGTGTGGGTGTGGAGGAGGGATGTGTGGGTGTAGAGGAGGGGTGTGGGTGTGGAGGAGGGGTGTGTGGGTGTGGTGGAAGGGTGTGGGTGTGTTGGAGGGTGTGGGTGTGGAGGGAGGGGTGTGTGGGTGTGGAGGGGTGTGGGTAGGAGAAGGGGTGTGTTGGAGGGTTGTGGGTGTGTGGTGGAAGGTGTGGGGTGTGTTGGAGAGTTGTGTGGGTGTGGTGGAGGTGTGGGTGTAGGGTGTAGGGGACAGGGTCGGGAGGGTGAATGACGCCTAAATGGCCACACTGGACACAACACACAGACATACACTCATACAAACTCTGCTCCGTCGCCCTCACAAACCGATGCCCTCTCTGCACCGCCACACCCTCCTACACTACACACCCTCCCTACATCACCACACCCTCCTTACACCGCCACACCCTTCCTACACCACCACACCTCCCCTACATCACCACACCCTCCTTACACACCACACCCTTCCTACACCATCACACCCTACACCGCCACACCCTCCCTACACCGCCACACCCTCCCTACACTGCCACACCCTCCCTACACCACCTAAGGAATGTCCTCTAGAGTCCCTACACCCCAAAACACTTGCCTCCATGGTCACACCCCCACTACAGGACCTTCCTACACCCACGATACACTTATTTTGCGTGCCTTCATCTCCTCCTCCCCACATGTAAAGAGTTTCCCCTGAAGTAACCCCAGATTACCTCTTTGGATCCCCCAGAATATACCCCTCATTACCTCCCCTTACCCCTTCCCTTTATCCCCTCCTCTTACCCCTTCCC